TGGCCCCAGCCCCAGTTGTTCCATGCCTTCAGCGGGAGGGGCAGGGCAGGGGTGCAGAGGATGGGCGGAGACCTGCCCCTTGGCCTACCACAGCCTCATGGCCCACAGTTCCTGTCAAGGTGCATGAATTCATGCACTGTGCCTCTAGTCCTATATAATAAAAGACTAACATGCAAATTGACTGAACAGTGGAATGATCGGTCGCTATGATGCACACTGACCACCAAAGGAGCTGCCGAGCTGCAGTGACTTGGCCACGGTGGTTCTCAGGCAATGCACCCCAAAACCTTCGGCTGTGGGTTATGTTGTTGCTGGGGCACTATTGCCCCAAATCTGGTTTACTGCACATTTGCGTTTGTGTTCCACACCCTGTATGACAGCAACTTTCCAGAGTGCCCTCTCGCATTCTGGGACCCCTCAGGGGATGTTGGAGAGCCGGTTTCGGCCCAATCCCCACAGACCAGGCCAAGGGACCCCACCTGCCAGAGGGACCCCACTCACTCCGCAGACATCCTTTAAGCCATGGCACTACCACAGGTGCTGCTGGCCAGGGAGGGACCGCGGGAGGTTGGCTCCAGGGCATGTCTGGCACATCTCGCTCAGTCCCGCCCCTCCGGCCACCTTCTAATTAATTTCCTTTCAACGTGCACAAATCCGTGTACCGGGTCACTAGTCTCATTAATGAAGGTGGAGTTGTTTTCACTGTCACTGAAGTGAGGATTATCATTTGCAATGACAGGTGGGTGATCTGGTGTCTTTATGCCTATTCCAGAGAGGATCAGCAGGCTGAAAATATTTGAGTACTACTACTAGGGATCCTGTTGGAATACAGTGTTGCCACTTGAGCCTGCTTCCTGGTTTATGAACAATGGTCTTCTCACTGTGTCCTATGTGATAGTAGGGATAAGGGAACACTCTGGAGTCCCTTTCTATATGGGTATTAATCCTATTCATGTGTGCTCATGTTCTAATCACCCCCAAAGAGCCCACCTCGAAATACCATTGCACTGGGGATTAGGATCTCAACATATGGATGTGGAGGGACACAACCTTCCATCTCTAGCAAGGGATTTGTAACCCAGCAGTGATCATCAAGAACATCATCCTTAGCCACTTCCCTACTCTTGCTTACTTATAACAATATCATAACTTGAATTTTAATCCCAGTATAGACATGTGGAAAGTTGGGCAGAATTTACTACTCCCATTCCACAAGTGAGGAGTCAGAAGTTGAGAGAAGATGAAGGTCAGAGAACCTGGAAGCCACTGATCAGCACCACAGAGCTCACCTGGTGTGAAGGGTTAGTCCTCTTTCTCGCATGATGAGGTGAAGAGGGGAGAGTTACACGTACAATGTAGACTATTTAATGTTTAGCCTTTCAGGCATTTAGATGTGGTGGAAAAGTCCCATTTTTTTATTTAAAAATTACATGTAAGAATCTAATAACAGTGATTTAAAACTAAGCTCATACAAATAGGTACATGAAGGAAGAGGTTTAATAACCTTTAGCTAAATTGATTAACATACCCCATGTTGTGTGAAAACATAATCATCCAACTCAAGTGTATTTCTGCTTATGACTCAAATTCCAAGAGTAGTAGCCTAAGGAACTATGTATACCTGAGCTGTCTAACATGGTAACTGCTAGAAACAAGTGGCTATTTAAAGTTCAATAACATTTAAAACTCAGCTCCTTATTTGCATGAGCTACATTCAAGTGCTCAAAAGCCACAGGTGGCTAGTGGCTACCACATTCAACAGGAGAGACAGAAGACGTTTTTCAGAAAATGCTATTAGACAGCAATCCTGTCAGTGGACAGCATAGGCCAATGAAGTTAACAAGGGGCCCATGTGCATGGCAGGAGGAGTTCATCAAATTGCTCCAAACTAGCATTCCCCTGTCCGATGTTTCCAAATACTTCCGTTACACACACAGCTAAGTCTTGGCCATCACAAATCATCATATCTTTATATTTTCCATAGCCACTGCTTTAATATTGGTGAAACGAGCCTTGAATTTGCTACTTGAGGGAGACTGATTTCATGAATAACTTAAAGCTCACTGTCGCAACATCAGATCTTTCATTGAGCAGCACACACTTTTGAATGCATGTTACTTTATTGAAACGCACATATATACAACGATGACAGAGGAGAGCTCTGCAGAGTGGAGCACGTGGGGCTGTTTGCAATGGGAGGACAGGCAGACTCTAGCTTAACAGAATGAAATTGGGGTTGGAAAATAGGCAAAGCCCGGAGAACAAGTTTCCTCTCCCATCACCACATAGAGCGGTCTTCCAGCCTGTCAACAGAAGAAGCAGAGCGTGTAAGGGAAGCTCCCCAGCTTCCTGGGGGGCTGGCAAGGGCGAGACATTCTGTTCTGAACGGAAAGATGGTCAGACACTGTGGAAAGGGCTCCCACTGGCATTCCGTGTGGAGTATCAGAGCGGGAGACAGTGGCGCAATGTGCACAGACCCAGCTGAGTAGCTTTCACTCGTGGCCATGGGAGTCTCGGGTAAATCTCAGGGGGACTATTTAAAAGGCTCTGTGTTTATCAAAGAACCCTGCAGTATTTCTGAAGATCAAAACTACAGGAACCACACGAAACTGTGACAAGAAAGTTATTGTTGCTCAACTCTGAATATGCTTCCTTTGCTTCCCTTCAAGGCTTTTTATGTAGTTGGATGCTGTGTATTTGGACTATAAAGAACCCTTTTTAATGAAATAGCATCCACAGGCAACATCAAGGCTGTCAGGTTTTGTTTCATTCTAACTGCACTTGATGGTGGCTGTCAATCAAGGTGCAATTAACTTTATTTCATGCCCTAACTGTGCAACTTCAGGCCACAACACAAAGTAGGTCTGGATGGCTCTTTTTCTTACCCTAAGTAGACGGAGTATAGCTTACCCTAAGCTTTTCACCACAACAAACACCACAGGCATGTCCATGAAACATGAAAAAGCACTTATTGATTAGTATGTAAAAGCAATTCTTATGAATTTTCCATTTGTTTCCCTTGCGTTTGTTACTAAAATCTGGCTGGTACCTCCAGGGACATGAGCACTGCAACTTTATTCCAGTCCAAATGGTTGTTTCCCTCGGAGAAAACAAACCTGACATCTCTGGAACTGCACCTTCACCCTGGCTGGCCATTGCACAAGGGAACAGAGGAAGGGCTGGAGGGCAGGTCATCTGCTCTAACCTCCCAGGGGAACCCCAATGAAGAGTGACTCGCCAGTCACACTCACTGAGCAAGTGTTCTAGTGCCCTCTTCTGGGGAACTTGGTTCTTGCCATTGTTGAGCTCTGGGTTTAAGGCAGACAAGCTACCACAGAAAAATAGATGAGCTATATGCCATGTGATCTAACTGGGGGTAGAGGCAAGAGACAGCAGATGAAAACCAAGGGGGACCGGGCTTCCTTTTAGTAGAACTCCTTGTCCAGGGGCACCAGAGGGTCCTGGCCCCATGTTTGACCCTTAGATATTAGTGTGCATCTCTTCCCAAAACAGTCCACCCTCCAAGAAAGTCCCAAGACCACAATCCCCTAAGAATAATACATTGTCCAGCATTCATTCATTGAATGCAATAAATTACTATGTGACATCAGTTGAACTAAAATATATTAAAAAGTAAATGAGCTCCCTGTAATTTATCTACAGTTTCATGTAAACCCAGAAAGATTGGAATAAGACTCATGAGGGACATGTTCTCGGATATCCAGACACTCCGCATAGTATATAAAAAACAAAGATTATGCCAGCCAAAATTGGATGATTGGTCATTTAAATGAAGAGATGGGGACTCATTTATGCTCCCCCAATTCTAACCCAATAGAAATTCTCCATAGAATAATTTCTGCAGTAAAATTCACTTATAAAGTTTTCCAAGGAGCACCAAATAATTTGCAGTAGGAAATATTACCCCACAGTTTAGAAATTGACAAATGACTACATGAAAAGAAAGGTCCTTCCCACCTTCTTCCCCATCCCCATTTCTCTCCAAATCCTACCTGGTCTGGAAGACTCAGTTCCAAAGCTTCCTCCCCAAGCAGCCCTCTCTGGTTTCCCTCCCCCGAAGTCCCCACACTAGCCCCTCCATACCTAGTTCGAGGAACATTTTCCGTGCTTTCACTCAGCAAGAGGTCTGCAATCAGTGTCTCCGGGCTGGATCGTTTCCCATATCTAACAACAACAACAACAAAAGAATTCTTTAAAGCAAGCTTTGAATATTCATAAAAATATTTAGAAAAAAAGAAGATGGTCTTCCATTTGGGTTATCAAATCTAAAACTGATCTTCAGTTAAGTATCTGCTAACAGTAACTCAGGTGCACAAAGCACACATTATCATCAAAAACATCATGCCCTGGCGGTGGCTCAGCTGGTTGGAGCACTACCCCATACACAAAAGGTGGCAGGTTTGATCCCTCGTCAGGGCACATACCCTAGTTTCAGGTTCAATGCCCAGTTGGGGCTCATGTGGGAGGCAACTGATTGATGTTTCTCTCACATTCATGTTTTTTTTTTCTCTCTCTCTCTCCCTCCTTCCCTCTCTCTAAAATCGATTAAAAAGTAAAAAATAAAAACATATCATAAATATGACTTTGAATTAAATATGTACATAATTTTTACATACTTAAATAACAGCAGGTTATTTAAACCCAACCAAAATTCCAAATTCTTGTCTTTTTATACCACAAATAATATATGTGTAGATATAGTTATAACTAGGTGATAGGAAATAAAAATACATCAAAGTATGATTTAATGTTTCCATAATTAGTTAATTGGCAATAGTTCGAATGATATACAGCAGTTTAAATCTTAAAGAGGCTAGATGATATTTAAGGAACATCTCTAACAACAAAATTGGTGACTAAAGTTCTAGACCCACCTGTCTTTTAATCATAGTTTTTTTCATTTGTAAAAACAAAATTATAGCATACTTAAATCAGACTCTTTGTGAAAATGCAGTGTGTCACAATGCTTTGAAAGTGACAAAGTGGTACACACATGCAAGTTGCTGCTGCTGAAATCCACACTTTCTTAATGATAGCAATAGAACCTGGGTTCTATATTTTCCTTATTTATTTGGGGTACCACAAGCTAAAAGCCTTCTCTCATGCTGTGATTTTTTTGTTTTGTTTTGTTTCCAAGTAGTCATATAGTTTTTATTTTATTGTTTGAAGTATTACAAATATGCTGTGATTTGAATCTGCCCTGTAAGCATAAAGGAACCCTACTGGTCCGCAGAAATGTTTCTGGTCTTTTTCTCCTGTTGCAGGATATGAAGAGGACAATAGCTGAGTGCAAGGCTATGCTTTCCTGTCAGGATGGCATGCGTTACTTTCTCCAGGTGAGTGAGTAAATGGATCCATGCCTCCCTCCTTGGCTCTCTCGCGTGCTCTCTCTCTCTCTAAAGAGTCTAACAAATCTACAGTACTAAATTCCATTTTTTTAAAGAGGCTGTTTGCCCCTTTTTCAAAAAAAGCGCTGGACACCAACAGCAGCTTTCCCCCCCACCCCCCTGCAAATGAGAGATTAGCCTGGCTGGATTGATTAGCTAGGAGATAAAACTGAGGAACAGAGCTGTCAGAAGGCATATTCTGACTGCCTATCAAGCACAATTAAACTAAGTTTGGGGGGAAATCTTCCTATTATTGCTCCTTTTCTGGGACCCAAGGGAAGAAAAAAATAAGCAGACACCCATGTCCCCATCATTTGTGAGGTTTCCTCAAAGATTTCCTGAAGCTGTCTTATCAGACTCAAGGCTGCTGCTTATACTTGTGTATTCTGTCCATCAGTTGATTTTACTAATCTTAAAACTCTTGGACAACCTTACCTCATTTATCTTCATCATGCTCCAGTGAATGAAAGAACTGGCCGATATTTTCACCAATTTACCAGGTAAAGAAACTACATCTCTAATAGCAGGATTTGCACAGGACAGCACTGTTCACTGTTCTTCCTTCTCTAATTTATTCTGGATTATCCTTTTCCTCTACAATGCTTTAATTTTCAAAGGTATAGATCCTGTAGAGGGGGGGAAATCCCAATCCTGGCTGCACATGAGAGAGCTTTTAAAATTGCTCTGAAGTCCATGATCCACCCTTACCCCCAGGTTCTGAATGAACTGGACAGGAGTGCAGCCTAACATCAGCATATTGTTTAAGTTTCTCAGATGATTGCAAGGTGTCACCAGGGTGGAGAAACATTTATCTAGGACTGGATTCCTCAACCACAGCACTATGGACATTTGGGGCTGGCTAATTCTTCATGGTAGGGGGCTGTCCTAGGCAGAGTAGGGTGTTCAGCAGCATCCCTGGCCCCTACCCACTAAGTGCCAGTAGCACCACCCCTCACTGTGATAACAAGAAATGTCTCCAGACATTGCCGAATATCATGGGAGCAAAAAGCCAGCCTGAGGTGAGAACCACTGATCTAACAAGATGTGGATCTACCATGCTCTAGAAAAAAAATAATGCAGCTTTTGGAAGTAGTGAACCAGGGTACACAGCTTAAAAACATGGAGTGTGTGGAAAAAGGGAGGAAAGAGAGCATTTATGACAAAGTCAACATATATTCACAAATGACACCATAATCTTCAAAAATACCAACATGTGCATCTGAGTGGGTGTGTGTGGTGGGAAGGCAATACACATACAGAATGCAGATTATTGGTGCAGATTATAAACCTCTAATAGTTCCTAAGGAGGAATTTACATGAAGATAAGACAAAAACTCTGCTCTAGGGCCAACTCATTTCCACTGTATCTGAATCTCTTCCCATGAAACTCAAGTCCCTTCCCCTTTTTTCTCATCAAAGATGTTGGGAGTCATATTGACTGCTGATGGTGGTGACAACATCCAAGGAAAATGAGTAGGAGGGCTCCAATTTCATCCCCTAAAAAGATTCCATGAAATGTTCTTAGTAAAATGGAGATAAATATACTCACTCCAAAGCTCTGAGGCAAAGACTGAACAAAGTAACTCCTAGGAAAACATATTGAAATGCTAAAGCTTTATACCGTATAATGATAAAGCTTTATAGCAACTGTCTTTTCAAAACTAAGTTCTCCTGGGTGTTATAAATGACAAACTAAAGAACTAACAAGGGTTTTCTTGGAAAAGAACAATACCATTTTTATTTGTACAAGTTCTTTTCTCTGGTCTGTAAAATAGCATAAGCAAGAACTAAAAGCAATTAACTTTCTGAGAAGTCTATTAGGATATAAAACACTGTTGCTTTTCACTAATTAACATTATCAGTCTTCAAGGACCATAAACCAATACTATTTAATTCTGGTACTCTCATGTATTTCTGATTCTATGTAAATTGGGATCTTTTAGAAAAATTCTCAGGATGAAACAGCTTTTTGATGAAACATAAAAAAGAAACTTTATTTAAGAAATAGAAATTCTCCCCTCTTTGCATCCATTCCAACTATTCCCTGACTTGTACACAGCAAAAATATGATAAAAATAAAAACAACACTTTATAAAACATAATTTAAATATATTAAATAGCATTAGTGCTTTTAAAGGGTTCATTGTTTTTTAGCTTATTAAGGTCATTTGATCTTGAGGATTAAAATAATAAAATATTAAATGATTTAGAACTAAGATGAACCAATTTTAGAAACATTTTAAATCCTAGATTATCTGTACAATTACTTGGATTTGAATTTTTGCTTAATATTTGACATTGAGAGTGAAAATGTGGGATTTCATTTCAGCTTCCTGGGGGTTCGGCATGAGGTTTACAATTTCCTGAATTCCATGCAATTTCTGGAATCACCCCAGAGTGACTAGACCAATAAGCTTCTACCTAAAAAAGCACCCAGCAGACACTTTCTTTTCAGGACTCACCTGCTATAAAATGGGCAAATGTCTGCATTTTAGATCAACTCGTTTTCTGCTAAATCTCTATTTATTTGGACCAGAATTTTCAAGTAAAGGTCTGAGAAACACACAGTACAGAAGAGAAGAAAATAGCTCTATTTGTCTTTTCCTAAACACTGTCACTCCATTTGCTCTGGGCAGATTGGAAAACCTGGCAATGTCTTTATCAACCAGCTCTTTCCTCCTTGGGTTTTGTTGTTATTTTTCCTGGACCACCCTGCCCTCTGGCTTCCCTGCAGCCATTGGAGGAGGGGGGCACTGCCCACCCTTTCACCTGGTACTTACCCTTCCTGGTTCCAAAACAGTGCCCCCACTGCTCTAAGAACAAAAAAGGCAAGGGGATGATGGGTAGGGGGGATGCAGCCACACAGTGCGGAGAGCCTGACTCTGGGGATGGGGACTTTGTGACTAACTGCAGAGGGAAAGTACTCAGTGCCTTGTACAAACATTCCCGAGAGCTGACCGTCCTGATTCGGTCCTGCCCTGGAATACAGCGGAGAAGTGGTCCCTGTCCCCTCTGAGACCCCAAGACCCTGGGTAAGCAGGACAGGCGGCTCCCGGAGGAGGTCCCTCGGGCCCACCCACCTCTGCCTGGTGATGAGGTTGATGTAGTGTCGCAGCGCAGAGTAGTATCTGGCCAGCTCCTCCGCAGACGCGTTCTCCCCGGGCTTCTCGGGCTTGGAGGGGTACGCCTCGGCCAGCGCGCCCAGGCACACGAGCAGGGACAGGGCAAGCGCCAGGCGGGACAGCCCCAGTCGCTTGCTCCCCAGCATCTGAGGGCACCAAAGGTGCAGGGAAAGGGGTCGGGGGGTTAAAGGACACATGCCACACACAACCCCCCTCGCTTCCCGGAGCCTGTTCCCCTGCTAACACCCAGGACCCCCGAAATGAGCTAGACCCGGCAATACAGAGGTGGGCGAGTGTGGACAGCACCGCCCGGCTCAGGGTCCAATCTGCGCGCCCCCTCCACTCCACTTGGAAACTCCGTGCGACTTCGGTCCAAGTCACAGGCGGAGAGTCGTGTAGTTGGAGGCACCAGTTTAGACCCTGTAAATAGTTAAGTTCCCCCTGCGGCGTAAAGGGACATCACTCTCCTCTCCTCCTTCCCCAAACCCTGTCCGGGAGGAAAGTTTCTTCCTGAGACTCCTGGTCTGCGTCTGCAGGCGCCCGGGAGACGGCTGAGACCACTTGGGGTGGCCATTTGAGGGGGAGAGAGAGAACTGCGCCCGGGCCAGTGGGTCTCAGGTCGGATCCCAGGCTGGACGTGCTGCGTCCAGGATACAGGATTCTTCACTCAGGGGCGCTGCCTGGAAACCTCCCTGCAGGCTGAGACCCCAGGAAACCGCCACCTGGGGTTTGAGGGGGGGGGCGAGTTCTCCCTCCACTTCCTCCGAAAGGCAACCCAGAGGACCACCCAGCCGGGAGGGGAGGGTCTGGGAGAAGGGCGGCTGTAGGATCAGAGGGGACCAGGAGGGCAGGTGGAATCGAGTGGCCGGGGCGGCTGGAGCGTGTAGGGGCGGGAAAGCACCCCACAAGTCCAGCAGGGGCTGGGGAGTGGGGCGCGGCCCACCCAGCGCCCCAGGCTCCGCAGA